CGAAAGCCAGAAACTATTATAGTTGATCCGGGCACTGAATTCAAAGGCGAAGTTACAAGAATATACAACATACAAAGATCAGAAGCTAATAATCTTAGAGCGCAAGCTTTAGTTGAACGTGCTAATAAAACTATTGCCGAAAAACTTTTCAGCTATCAATATGCCAAAGAAATGATAAGTGATGACAGGAATCGCGAATGGGTAATAAGATTGCCCGCGGTTATAAAATCTATTAACAGCGGCGTTAAAAGAATTACAGGTAAAACCCCTTTAGAAGCTATTAAATTAAATAATGTTGATGAAAAACACGTAACATATAAAAGACCCGTTGGATTAAAGAAAAAAAGATTGCCGGCTAGYGTAACAGTTAGGTATTTATATCAGCCTGGTGAATATGAGGGTGGCAATAGCCAGAGAGCTACHGATCCTAATTGGTCTTTGGATACTTTTAATATAGTTAAAACTGTTTTTGCGGAGAATCAACCGGTTTTATATTATTTATCAGAAGGTGCTCCGAAAAGAAATTTCGTTCGAGAAGAATTACAAGTGGTTTTGGATGCTCAACTACCTCCCGAGAACGCGACGTAACCTATAGCGTTTGTATGTATTTTATCTTCTAATACAATTCTTTTATCATCTAAATTAGACAGAGCCACCTTATTAACACTTTCGGCGTAAATTTGATGCCCTTCAGATCTTAATACATTCATTTTCCGCATTTGCGATBTCCCAGTGAATAGACAATCTTTATAATCTTTAAAAGAAATAGTATCTTTTACGACAGATTTCTTAATTCCTTTACATTTCTTTTCGACATATTCAACTGTTTTATAAGCATATAACTTCGCCTGCAGACCAACAAATTCTGTAATTTCATTTCCTGATGTTTCATCTTTCATAAGGCCAATAACCTTTTTATTAATTTTTTTTATCAATAACTGGGTGATTACGATAAGCTGAAGTATCGAATTTTGCTTCTAAATCAGGATAGATGTCTTTATAAAAGTCATCGGTTTTTATCTCATATAGAAGGCTATCAGTATCCGTGAAACATAATTCAGCTCTATTTCCATATTTAGGCTTTATGTAGTTGTAGTGAAAATCGTACATCAAAGATTTAGAAATATCAAGAATAGACATACCCACGTAAATAGGCTTATTAAATTTAAGATGGGTTTTCCCCATATGAACCGCTATTAAATTCTCAGAGAATATTGTTCTTCTTTTAAAGTTGGGCTTCGAAGTTAATTTCTTTAGCTGATCTTTTCGAGTTGCAAGTCTAATATCTTGACGGTTTCTAATATTCTCCATCGTCTTACCGAAGACGCTGTTATTCATCAGCTTGAAGAAATCTTTCTCGAAATCGTTATCCGCTTTAGTTCGTAGATCTGTATTCAATTTAATATATTCAGCCATCCAGTTTTCTTCTATAAATGTAATACCCCTATGAATTTTTGTAATT